ACTGGTTTCCATTGGGCAGCATGTGGGTGCAGTGATTTGCTCACGTCGATCTGATTGCCAAATCAGGAATAAAGTTTGTAAAAATACTTTGCAATAAAATATTCTATATAAATGTAAGCTAATAACAGGCATTCATGCATAAATCATAAAATATATTCCAATTAGACAAAAGAGGTATTCATAAAAGAATGTGGATTCATGTAACAAGGTTAGATTTAGATGAGCTACAATGGCTTGGAAAATAGATTTTCATGTCTTCTTAATTACATACCATAAAATGCTTTTACAGGGGAGCTATTGCACAAGTACACAGTGATATTAACTGCATTCCTGCAATTGTAATGCAAAACATCAGTCCCAAACCTTGTTATGAATGACCTCTCTTTTCTTTTAGAAAGATAATGGTCTCATCATGTCCCTGGTGCTGCAAAGAGAGAAACTCCATCTGTAGGAGGGAAAGTTGGCCTGAAGATTAGCTGCAGGCCTTGAACTAGCAGACTCCACTAGTCTGCTTGATTTATTAAGGCAGAATTTAGGATCATCTACAGTAAGAAAAATCAAGTAAAAGTAAGTACAGTTACAAAATGGGAGCATATACAAGTCTTAAGGATTAGGCTTAAGATGCTTGGCATTTCAGGGTCTGGTAACACTGAGTTGTATTTTGGTTGTACTGTGAAGATTGATACTGGTAGGACAGGAGGGGTCACGGTTCAAAACAAATGTTTCAGTTCTGTGTTTTTCTAAACAAAATATAAATACAATCACCAGCAAAATGCAGAGCTCACAGTGAGCAAACTCCCCACATCACAAAGCCGTGGGTATGCACCTGGTAGCAGGAAAAGTTATGTCAGTCAGGGATCGAGTTTTCTTTTAAAGTTTCAAGAGGGTTATTTATAAATAATGAGAGAAATGATTATGAAAAATACCATTGTCATTTAAAGTAGGGGCCTATCTATTGGGAGACCATTGTTCAGATTTAACTGTGAATAAGATTTTTGTGTATATATGCTTGACCTGGCCTACATTTTATTGTAGTGCGGCAGTTTATGTTGTTCTTATGAGTTTCCATTTCTATATTTTGTTTCTGAAAAATGTCCCACAGAGTGAGATTAGGACTCAAACTGTGTTCACTCCTCATTGCTGTTACATCCACAAAACTCGGCCCTGATCCTAATGTAATAATGTGGAAAAATCATGACCTGTTACTTTTTCATAATAAATATGGGAAAGTATTTTAAAAAAACAAGATTCTGTGCAAAATTCTAGAATCATCCTCATTTGTAATCTTGAGACCCAATGCAAATTAATTTTTCTCCACAAAATTGTTTAACAGGACATAGAATCATAGAAGAATAGGACTAGAAGGGACCAGCCATTCAAAACTTTGGGGTGTGAGGAAATCAAAGCTGAGTGTATAATTTATAGTGAATGATTTATTAGATACATTGAACTTCTCTTGCTTTTGTGAACTGCAAGTAACTTATACTTTTTGAAAAATTACTCATTATTTAGAATTGCGTAGTTTCTATGAAAAATTATTGGTGTGTAGTTTTGACCATGAGCAGTTATCTAAGAGTGCTGGGCATCTAAAATTCAGGCTGTGTTGGTTAATTTTTTTATTATGATTTTCCATGATATTGTTTCTGTTCATTTGATGAGGTCCTGATTCAATGTTTAAAATTAAGCACCTGCCCCTGTGTTCTTTTGAATCTGGGCATGAATGAGCAGAACCTTTAGAATTGGTTTTAGGAAAAGTGTAAGCAAAGAAAGCAATCTTGGGGAATCAATGGGATTACTCTTGTGAGTAATGTCAAATGCATAAGTAAAGATTTGCTGGATCTTGGCCCATAGCTGTTCAAAAATAGCAGCATATAATCAAGATGAGTGCTATTCACAAAGCAATGCTTCCACTTTTCTCTCCTTTACTTTCCCTTTTTGAATGGGATGGGATGTAGGTGGGGTAAAATGATGTTTTTTGGCAAAGGGAATAAAAAACTTGACACTGATGGTTCACCTTTCTGAGTAAGTACTACTCACAAGAGGAGGAGAAACCTGTAAGAATTGCCCCACTCCCAACCAAAAAGCAGCAGATTCCAGGGAGGAAGAGAGAAATACCTTGAGGACATGGTGATGAGAATTAGGGAGACTGGGCAGGGGTGGGGGAGGGAGAAGTAGGGGATAAAATGGAGAAGACGGAAAATAGGAAGAGAGATGACAATTAACTGAGAGAAGAGAATAGAGAGGAAGGGCAGAGAGATGGGGGAAATCCTCCCTGATGGAAGCAGCCCTTGTCAGTCACTGTGAGAGGAAGAAAACTGACTGAAGAGGTCTGAGTCACCTCAGCTAGGACAGCCAAGGTAGGAAATACATTGGAGCAGACTGGTGCCACCTAGGATACTGGGGGGCCCTGCCTCAACATAGCCAAACTGCAGCTCTTTTATTTTTATTTTATTTTTTTCTCCCTTGTTCCCCCTCATGGACAAAAAAGTAGTGAGTAATTTATGATAATTAGTTACTGAGCTCCTTGACAAATTAGAAGCAGCTTTGGAAAGGGGGTTTTAGTGGAGGAAAATTTCCCCAGCTCTTTCTTCACCCGATATGTACTGTATGACAGAGAGACTGGTGCAAAGTGTTTTTTGGGAATGAGAGGCCCAAGAAAGAGCCTGGTTTTAAGGTTTACAGGGACCGGCATCCTCAGGCACGTTTCAGGAATTGGAGTTATGTAATAGAACAGTTTTTCCCTCTGTGCAGCTCCTGCTTTCTGCTGCTTTTCTTCCTTTCTTTTTTCTGTGTTTTAAGATAAAATCTTTGAATGGCCCTGATCTATGCTATCTGTTGCTTGGAGATTAATGATTCCACAGAGTACATGGCAATGCAGAGGAAGATAACATACATTTCATGGTATCTTTAAACTCCAGTAACTGGCTGTGATGCAGGTGATCAGTGTCTTGTATCTATAGAAGTGGGCGTCATAAAAGTCTTTCCTTTCCCTAACAATTGCCCTTAAAATGACAAATTAAATGAACTCTGTAAGTATAGTCTTGCAAAGGCATTTTGCTAAAGGCTTCCACTTCATTTTTAAGTCAGGTCATTGTGCTAAAGTATTTCAGCACTGTGAACTCTGCAGTGCTGAAGCATAATAGGACAGTAAAAGACTTAACACTGAATTTCCTTTCCTTTGTATTTTTCAGTCAGACCCTTAATATTGCCTTAATGTGTGTTTAAATATTTGGCTAAGTAGCATATTCCTCTATGCATGTTGTATTCCTCACATTCGTTTATCAGTTTCCCTCAATCTCAGTCTTTCTGGAGATGAGTGTGTGTGTGTGTGGGGTGGGGGGGGGGGGGAGTTCGGGGGTTCACTGAGTAAGTTTTTGCACCCCTTCCTCCCTCACCCCCCCCCCTTTTTTTTTAAGGCTGGGGATGGCTGAATTTTCTCATCCCCACCCCCTACTAATCCCAATGAAAAAGCCTCCATTTCACTTGGCAAAAACAGATTAGTTTAACCCTTGCATTAACCCTATTAGCAATGTGGTTTTTTTGTTTGTTTTTTTTAATTAGTGTTGCTTAGCTGGAGTAAAGTTTGGATTTAGTAACGTCATGAAGAGACAGGGAATTTTGCTGCAGCTTCTTGCCTGCACCTATCTCCTTCTCCAGCCACTACACTCTGCTCCCCCCTCTTCCTGCTCAGGCCCCCATCCAGCAAAGCAGGTAAGCACAGCAATATGTAATGGCTTGTGAAGCTTAATTTTGGCCCCATGACTGGAATGTTAGTCAATGATATTTGGAATGGTGAAAGTTAGACTGACACAAACGGAGGGATTTTCTAAAGCACCTAAATGACTTTCAATGAAACTTGCACTCTTAAGTCACTTAGTGATTTTGAAAATTCCACCCTGTATTCTTAGATACCAGCCCGTTTAATGATTTCATTAGCCTTTAAGGCCTGATCCTATGAGATGCTGAGGAGTCATAGCTTCCACTGACTCTGAGTTGGGAGTACTTAGCACCTCTCAGGACTGGGGCCCTAACACTCTGCCTCTTATTTCCTAGCAGGATAAATGCCTTTCAATGGATATGTATGAATGAACTGAACTTCTCTTCATTGACTACCCCATAAAATAGTCAGTGAATGAAGCACATTCATTTTTTGCTGCAGGGAGTGCATTATATTGGTTTCTTGACTTTCAAGCTATTACCAAAATCTCAGCTGTTCTAATTTGCTTTTTTTGAAAGCTGTTAATCTAAATTTCAAAAGAAAAGAGAGACCACTCCTGTTTTGGGCCCCAAGGTTTGGATTTCTCTCCCTGTTGACATGCACCTCAGTGCTTCACACTCTACCTTTAATCTTCTCCTCCTACAAACATTTTTAGTATGACTGCTCTTGGGCCCCATATTTATTAGCAGTCCTTCCCACCACACTTTTGTCTCTATATCCTTTAATGGGATTACAGTGCCCATGTACCCATGTCTGATTCATTTTGACTTTTAAGATGGTGCCCATTTAAACTATGGGTTTAATTGTATTTTGTGTGTGTGTGTGGTTTTAATCATATTGTACATGTGTCTTTGAGCACCCTGGTGGGATGCACTTTGGATATAAAAATAGATCATAATTCTTACACAAGGGAGCTTTCCACAAGCATCATACCAATTCCATAGTCTATTTAATTGCATTTTTATATTTTGATTTCTAATACAAAATCTCCTCAGGATTTGAGTAGCACATACATTGTATGGAGTTTCCCCTCTCGGCAACAAGATTGTTTTTATTTTCATTTGTTTTGTATCCCTTTTGTTCTTTAATAGTGGTGATGCATTTTGGTTTAATTAAAGTGTTATGAAAAACACAATTCAATTATTTTATTCCATTCAAACACCCTTCAAGCATCTTGCAAACATTTAAGAAAATGCATTGTTACTAACATATATTGTTTAAATTACCTCTGACTCTCCCCTCCACCCAGCCTCAATATGAAATATATGAATAATACACAGAGTTGTGGGTAGAATATTTTTATTATTCTTTAATATATGGAAAAGAATGACTCACAAGTAAAATGAAAGTTCTCCAAAACTCTACATGCTAAAGGCAATAGAAAATATGGCTTTGTATCTCTGTATTGACTTAGTTTAAGTATAATTTTAAATTAGCCTGTATTGTGTGGCATAATAACAGTATATGTTAGAAATTGAATGCCATGTAATATGACATGGCCCTGCTTTATATAAACATGTAGCAATAACCAAAGTAGTGTTGTTAGATTTTGTGATACAGTATTAGGCAAACTTCTGATTTATGATTAAAATATTAGATTTCTATTTCACTTGTAGTACATATAATTCAAATTTATTTCATTTTCTATGGACCCTTTTTCCAGAAATCACATATCTGTATCAAAACTAAATAAAATTAATTAGACATAAAAGCACTGCGATGAATGGCTATTTTCCTGTTGAGTGAAAAATTGGAGTCAGGTTACAGGTCGCACTTTCCAAATACCTGTGGATGAAACAAAGGAAAAAGTGAGTCTTATCTTTCTTTACTTGTTTCAGACTAATGGCCTGATCTTGCAAGATGACTTCAGTGGAAGCTGTGAGTCCTCAGCACCATACAAGAGGCACTCGGCATTTTGCAGGATTGGGCCCTAAGAACTCTGTGATCCTTATTCCCATGAGTAGTCCCATTAAAGACCACCAGCATTCATAACAATGGCATGACTGGTCCTATGGGCCTCATCCAGGGTTCACTGAACTCAATAAAAAGAATCTCACTGATTTCAGTAGGCTCTGGATTTGACCCAAAGTGCCCACTTTTGCAGTCTTAGTCCGGCAAAACTCCCATTAATTTAATGGTAGCTTTGCTTGAGTAAGGACTACAGGAGTGAGCCCTAAGCATTTCTTTAAGAAGGAACCTCTAACAAATTCATATTGATTCTTGTAATTGAATAAATAGGCGTGTGCTAAATATTGTTACTCCCATGACAAGAAATTATAATAAATGTATTAACATGAGACAAACATTCAGCTAGTGTATCTGAGTAAATATTATATAAATTGTTACACATTACTATTAATAAGCATTTTTCTACCCTTAGAATTTCACAATTAACCTGTTTGTTTATACCAGGTACTTACTATGCTTTCATTTTTTCCCCCACATGCCTCCCAAAGATGCTTTGTAGAGTGAGCGGTGGAGTACCTCAGTCGCCCCATTTTCCCATGCCCTATGCCTCTTTAGTTCCAATTCTCAAAGAAGTATATGCATAGGAAAAAGGAACAACGAGCAGAATCAAAAGAAATCCAAGGAAACCTAAAGTGTAAACACATATGTTAATGAGAATATAAATCAGTAATTACCCTTGAAACAGTATCTGTTTTCTTGAAATATCCCCCAATGGATACAGGTTAGAACAGTGGTTAAAACACAAGAAAGTGATGACTAAATATATCAGTCATCAATATTGTTTTAACAATATTCAGTATATAGAAAATGAATCAATTTAAGTTAGTATCTTTAAAAACAAATAAGATATGGAGTCTGCAGAAGGAAAAAGTCAATAACAATAATTTCTCCACAAATCATCTAAAGATGAATTTCAGGTCATTAACAAGATAGCATTCTCATTAGCATGAAGTCAGAATTATTGTACAATACTAAAGTTTTGTTTGATTGTATAAAGCCATTAGATAAGTAAAACAAACATAAGAGAGTTAGAAAAAACGTTGTATGTAAACTGCAAAGTACTGTAAAGCCTTCTCTGCAAACAACAAATAAGACTTACCTGATTAGCCCTCTGAAGCTCTGCCTGCATCAACTTCTTTTTCATCAGCATTTATGCCTTGCTCAAGACCTTGAAGAAGTATGGACAATACAGTGTAGCTGTTTTCATAAGTGATAATCAGCTTGCCCCTTGCCAAGGACTCTGGTGCACCTGCAGGTTGGGTGCACAAAAGCCTTGCTTAGTAAAAGTGCTGAAAACTTGGAAAGGATCACTTGTGGGCCAGGGGAGGTATGTGAGGGAGTGCAACTGACAAAAGGAATGATTAGAAGAGATGGCCTGAGATGTGCAGTGAGGATGAGAAGTTATCGCTTGTTTTTTCTTTCACATACGTCAATGGGTTGGAAAATGTAAACCTGGGAGAGAACTTTTCGTTCTGGAAAGTTGCACTACATTTTTTCCCTTGTCTTTTTTTTTTTTAAAATCTCTATCAATGTCCTTCACTGCAAACATGGCTTTAGTGAGGAGATATCAAGGTCTGTGTACAAGGCTTTTCCCTGCTTATCCAGGCACCAGCGAGGCTCCCCTACTGGGTACCAAGGCTGAGAATTCTCTTTCACCATATTTAATCCTTATTGCTAACAAATGCTTTAACCATTTGTTTTCTAGTTGCTTCTTTTCCTTCAGCATGTTCCAACACTTTCTTGATCTTTTTACTCCATCAACTGTTTCCTAAATGTGCCATATTATGGACATATGATGAAATAGATCTTCTTGCAGTTAGAGGAAGGCTGGGTGAACTAATTCAAAGTGGATCAGAATGCCACAGCATCTGCAGTTTTCCTCACATACTAAGTAACCACAATACTAATTGTTATGTGCTGCTGAAGATTGACTGTTGTAGTTCACTGAGAGGCACTGTTTCAGCTGCTGAGGATTTGTTGGTGTTCATAACAGAGTGGGACTTTTCACTTGTGCACATGAACAACAATTCAGATGAAAGGTCCACAATGAAGTCAATAGGTCTGCTCACTTTTGAGTAGTTATTCGTGTGCCTAAGAGTTTGCAGGATCAGAACCTTAAAGTTGCAATTTATAAAGGCTACTGGATGTTTGTGTAACCCACACACCTCTTAGGTGTGGTGTTCTGTCACCTCTAGTGGCACCAAGACCACTTAGAGAGAGAGAGAGAGAGAGAGAGTTAAATGAGTCGCTCTAGAGCCTTAGCTAAGAGCCACCTTGTTTTTAGCTCATGCCGTACAGGCTCATGCACTAAGCTCCAGAGGTCACAGCCCTCTGACGAACAGGGTCTGTGGGCATTACACTTGTATATCAGGGAAGTATCTAATGCATCTAACCTATAGCTCTTCTCTTTGGGTCAGATTCTGCAATTTTTGCTCAAACAAAGCTCCCATTACTTCAGTTGCAAAGGACTAGGCCCTTTGTTAGTGTGTTTTGCCCAGGAAGGTAAGTATACTTTACAATTTGGAAGCAATTTTTTAGCATGAGCCACTCATACAAGTCAGAATGACTATTTTTTTTCAACCCCAGAAATATTAAAAAGTCCCAATCTCTTGTGATCTCTGGGCTCAGTTACTGAACAGCACTCTGATCGGGGTTTCCCTTGAAAGCTACACATAGGCTGCAGCTAGTGCAGCCTAACTTTCTAATGTCTCTAAGGACTAGTTATGCGAGTGCTTTATGAGCAGCTTGGTGGTCTCTAGTTCAGTGAGTGCACTTCAAAGTCCTACAAAGCCACATGCATGTACTTAACTTCATGCACACACATAGATCAGTAAGGTTAAGCATGTGCATAAGTCTTTGTAGGATCATAACCTCAAGCTGTTGTTTAAAAACAAAAACCTACTATCTAGGATCAGTATATCTGAGGGAATGTCTGCTGTTCTAACTCCCATCATGGCACCTAAAGTCAGTGAGGCTAGAATTGCTGATGATCCCATGATATATTCTCCAGAGGGCAGAAGGCAGAGCACATACAGCTTTGGAATGCTCGTCTCAGCTTTATGCCAGAGCTCATCTGTGAGCTGAGGTCTTTCATGGAATGGAGGAAGACACTTTTATTTCACCTCTGGTGTGTGTGTGTGTGTGTGTGTTGATAAAGGTTTATTTATGGGTAAAGGGACATTTTTTGCTTGGGAAGTGTGTTTTATTTTTATTATGACGTGCTTTACACTGTCCTACTGTAGATTTTGTCTGAAACCACGTTGCCATTTAACCCTTGTGGTTTTAAGGTGTTTTGGCGGGTTATCGGCATGAGCGCACATAAATACAATGTTGTGTAGTGTTATGAGGGAAAAGGAGCTTTTGGAAAACAAACCAAATCCATGTTGAATGTTGCTGTGCTGCTTTCCAAATAGTTTGTGAGATATGAAGACGTTCATTGCTAGGTCACTGGTTCTAGCTTCAGGAAATACTGCACAATCACAGGTGCAGGTAACAATTTCTAACACAAGTACATGGATGGATTGTGCTTTGAGGGTATGGAGGGCTGACACAAGGCCCTCTGCACCACGTAAGCCCTGCAGTGAGGTTGTGCTGGTGAGGAATAGGCTACACTCAAAACTCCAAAGCGCTGCCGCGGGAGCGCTCCCGTGGAGCGCTTTGAAGTGTGAGTGTGGTTGCGGCGCCAGCACTGGAAGAGAGCTCTCCTAGCGCTGCAGGTACTCCATCTCCCCGAGGGGATTAGCTTACAGCGCTGGGAGCACAACTCCCAGCACTGGGGCACTGTTTACACTGGCACTTTACAGCGCTGTAACTTGCTGCGCTCAGGGGGGTGTTTTTTCACGCCCCGAGCGAGAAAGTTGCAGCGCTGTAAAGCGCCAGTGTAGCCAAGGCCTGACTGTTTGTTTCCTGTATGCTTTGGAGGGGAATTCCATGCCAGTTTCAAATATGCTGGTGTATAGGGGATATTGTAGGGCAGGCTGGAGCAATACTGTGGGATCTGCAGTTACGCAGATCTAATAACTCTGCCTGGCGGGTATAGAACAGCAATGCCCATTATTCCACCTATATTCTAGAACAGTGGCTTGTGATGAGCAGAACAACATTTTCCCTTGGCTTTATTGAATGTGTGAATCCTTTCTCCCTTAGTCCCCATGGAGATCCCCTTACATAGCCCAATTACTAGGGGGTTCATTGAGCGGGAGGATACATTTCACCTTAATGAAACTATCCTTTAAAAATAACCTGTATTGCCTTATTTATCAAGAGATTATTCAGTAGCCTACCATATTCTCAAACTGGTAGGCTCATGATAAGTTCCAATCTAATCTCCAGCATTATCTTTGAATAGTCCGATGTTCTAAATAGCTGCGAACGGGGAACAGGAATTATTCCCTAGTTAATATGTGAACCCTCCCTTTTGATGTTGCCTGATAGCAATTGTTAAATGTATTTATTTGCAATGCATTCAAATGCTGTCAATGAGTGGATTAGTGCTGGCTATCTTAAATATTTGGTGCTGCATAAAACTGAAGAGACTGGATTTCCAAAAATGGATACTGATCCTGCTCCCATTAAAGTCAATGACCAAACACCCACTGACTTCAGTGGAAGCAGGAATGGGCCCCATATGTCCAAACTGGGTCAGAGGTTGAATCCCCAATTGTCAAGGAGGCACTTTGGAAAACCTATAGGTCTTCTCCACCTCCACGGTCAGTCATTCTGTATGGTATGTACAGTGGAGCACACCTTCTTTTTAGATAGAAGTGAGTCCGTTTGCTGCTGAAAAAAGTTGGCTAAGGTGACTTACTTATTTTTAAAGAGAACTTTTTGGTTTTCCAGTTACTGGAAATGCAAATATGATAATTATACTGGACTTGTATTGAATCTGCCCAGGCTAATGAACCTGGCAAGTTCAGCTTAAAAATTGTAGAAGTCTTTATACATTTCCTTTTACTCCCCAGAGGTGATCTCTTGATTGTAACTATTAATGTTCTCTCTGTGACTAATTTACAGGCCAGTAACAATGTATATAACAAGGGAGCTTGTGTGGAAAAAACTTTCCATGAGTTTAAAGGGACAGTTGAGGATGGCCATCCAAACTAAGCATATAATTCATTGTGTCCTTCTGTCAGTCCCTTTGAGTTTCTAACCATTTGACCAGCCCTTTTTTAATGTTAACCAGATAAATTGCTCTATTCTGGGTTGCCTATCTAAAACAAACACTTGTGCCCTGTCCCTCTATGCATGGATGTTCGTGAACAGCTGCAGCAGAGAGAGGGAGAGCTCACAGGGAAATAACTCTTGCAGCTGACATAGACGTCTTGGACTGATCCTCCACCAAGCACATGATTTATAGGGGTTGAGGCCATAATTGTGGTTGGGATATGACTCAATGGGGCCAGGAGGCCAGCTGGAGGAGGGTAATTAGGCTGGAGGTATAGTTCTTAGAAACTGGAAATCAAGCAGCAGTTGGGGTGCTTGGGTCAATATATGATTTATAGACCCCGAGAGGAGACAGCTGGGAAAATCAGGTAGGGGCCAGGTTTCTAGGAGAATATTTTTCAGAAAACTCCATCTTGTAAAGAGCACGTGGTCAGGCATTGTGCTTCTCTAATGAATATCCCTAACATTCTTGACACAGTGGTGATATCAGAGCTTCTAGTGTCCCACATGAGATTAGGTTAAGGTCCCCAGTTGAGTTAAAGGTTGGGAGAGTGTTCACCCATGAGTGCCCTTTCCATGTTGGTGCCCAGGTGGAGGAGGAGGATGGAGCAGCTTGTTCTTTTAAAAGGTATATGAACATCCTCCTCTGATGTTTTTCACTCCTGGGCTCCTTTTCTGGGTGCTCACTGAAGCGGACTATTAACAGAAAAGGGGTATCTGTATGCCCCACAGAGGATGCAGTTGCATCATACAATGTCCCTCTTCTCTGTCATATTCCTTTTTCTTTCCCTAAATATGCAATGGAATGAATTATCATTCCTCTTAATGCAGGTGTGTTTCTGAGAGGGATTGAAAATGTTAGTAGAATGATCTCTTAGTGATCTTTTCTCTTTGATGCTTGTCTTTACCTTGACTAACTTAACACCTGTT